ACTACTACTACTTCTTCCACCACCACCACTCCTACTTGTTACTAGTTGTAGTAGTAGTAGTAGTCCTTGTTGCTGTTGTTTTAGGAGGAGGAGGAGGTGGTGGTGATGGTGGTGGTGGTGGTGGAGGTGGTGGAGGTGGTGGAGGTGGTGGAGGAGGAGAGGGGAAGGGGTCGAAGTCGGAATCGGAGTACGCAACAGGAGTAGGACCAGGAGTAGGCATGAGCCGTAGCAGCAGCACCAGGAGCAGCAGCAGCAGCAGCCAGCTGTGCCAGCGGTGCCGTAGCAGCAGCAGTAGCCGTAGCTGTAGCAGCGGCACCAGCAGCAGCAGCAGCAGCAGCAGCAGCAGCAGCAGTAGCACCTGGAGCAGTATGTAGAAACATAACGTCAGGGAAAGATGATAACAACCTATAGTATACGAAGACCATACATCATACAAGTATTCAACTAGCAAATGTACATAAACTTTGTCACGAACAATGCCAACCATGGCACTAGTTGCAAGTGTGGCTCCTTGACGTGCCGATCAAAGCTCGCAATTTGAGTCTGACAGTTCTCTTCGTCCGACAAGTCCTCCAAGACTTGTAACTCTGTGGCGCTTTTGGTTTAGGAATTGCGGCTTGACCTACCAAGCGTTGGCATTTGCGGCTGTAGGTAGGTTTTGCATTCAGGGTTGTTGAACATACAGTCGAAATGATGATTTAGCATCCGGTCTCTCAGCAAAGTGCACCCGTTCGATCCTCCTTGTTTGTCACCTTCGAAGATGCCCGGCTTTTGGCACTTGCTATAACGGACTTGGACAAGGAAACCCGGCGCAATGCTCCTGCAAGGCTCACATGCAAATGCTTCAATCATGTTCTGTGCACCATGACAGAACTAGCCGTGCGATTGACCAGTTTTGTCTTGATCGGACTGCAGTTGACGCTGTCCTGCAAAATGCTGCTGGGCTAAACGTCCGGCTGCCACAACAGTGTATCCCAGCGAGAAGACGGCCAAGATTGCTGGAGCCACCATGTCGTCATGTCGGTTTCTCGAACAACAAACAACTGTAAAGGATTCCTGAGCCCAGGTGCGACGAAAAGGTCGGTTCGTCAAATTAAATCAACATGCTCAGGATTTACACCACCAGCCACAATGAGACTGCAAACGTGCAACCACATGACATTGATGTTCGGCGACCCGCTCTGATGTCGTTGGGGTCGGCGCTAGCACATCGTCGAGATGTCAACCGGTCAGCAATCTAAACCTGTACGAAAAACAACTCTAATCAAGCAGGCCGGACTGTCTGCTCACAGAGGCTTTCTTGTCACCAAGCCCACCCATGAGGTCGTAGAGCACAACATCTGACAACATTGAGAACTGGCGTCCGTCTAGCAGATACTCAACTAAAACCGGATATGCAATGTGTATCTTGCTATTTGCTGACAAGCCTTGCTGGCTTGCTGAGAATGGCAAACGACCCGCAGTTGCCACATGGTATTTGGGTCTGAAACCTATTCTTCCAATAACTCAAAGAGTACCTTCCAACCTTGCACCAAACCAATGAAAACAAAACACCTCCGGGAATGAAAACAAAACACCTCCGGGAGTGGAAATCAGCTATATAAGACCAGCTCGTTGAATTAAGGTCGCAGGTTGTTCGTGACTTCCCAACTATCCAAACTTTCGGACCAACACATGTCACGCCAAGCCATTTGAACAACTATCAACATCCAAACATCCTAGACCCTGGCTCCGAAAACAAAAATCCAACGTCGAGACAACGTGCCTTTTGCTTTCCTGAAAGAGGCTTCTTCTACAAAAAGCCGCTCCGAAATCACTTGCTTGCGAACGGCCATGTTTTGGACAAGCTCTTACTTGCGTTGTGTGATGTCCCCAGCCGCGAGCAACGAAAACGAAGTTGCCCGATCTTGAATCAGACAACTAAGAAACAACCTGGGAATCTCAAACATGTTCGATGCGAGGTGAAAGGCTTTAATGCCTGCGTTCACGACCTCGTCAGAGACCCCATTATCGAGGACACCTGGATACAGACGAGTGGCATGCATTCGACAGTCAGTTTGCGAGTTATGCATCTTTTCGCCGATGCTCTGCATGGTTTTCGCAGCCTGTTTGTGTGGCTTGCTCCACACGGAGCACGTGCAGACACTGTGCTCATTATCGACGGCAACACTAAGTCACTAAGCAAGCTTCCCTCGCCCAGAAAACTGTTGTGCATCGACTCCACATAGAGCTCCCGAGCCCAAGGGTTCAAACACTTTGGAAATCCTTTCAAAAACGACAAAAAACTTCCAGTGTTCAGAAAACCGTTGACCGTTTTTCATTCATGAAAAGTCCTTCTACTTGGTTAGCAAAAATGAAGCGGAACTTCCAGCTAAGTATGGGATTCGGTGAGCCGTTTCTGCCATGGGGCATCAAAGCCACTCAAAACGTCCCTATCATGCACACTCATGAAATTTTTGGAGACACAGAGCGGTCTCTCCAAGTCATGGTGATTGCATTGAAAATGTGCAACCTGTGCTCAAGATCACGGTCAGCACTGGCACACACACGCTCCAGAACATTCAGACTTGGGGAATTCCGTCTTGACAGGAAGCGAAGCTGCAAAGCTACTTTGGAGACCCTTCCAGAACTTGGCAAAATCTCGAAGGAAACTGCAAGAAAAGTCAAGCACACAAAAACTGTTGCAAACCTGTTTGGAAAATCAGAAACCCGCAAGGCAAACCGATAGAAAACAACAAAAACGCAAGAAATCCAAAGCA